GCATTACCAGGTTTCATTCGCCCAGGCTCCTGTGCAGCCCCGCCCCTTGTTGGCAGGCCTGGGGATTACACAAAGGAAATTTGAGAAGAGGAAAAATATTTTTAATTTTAACAAGAAAACTAATTTGCACACAGACTATTCAAAACAAATACGCGATATAATCAAAGACAAATATTTTTAATTTATTAGAAATACTTCACTAAGAAATGAGTTTTTGTATGTGAAAGACTTGTAATATTAACTGAAAAACTGCCAAATTTCATGTAGATATACTCACTATAATGAGAGTTAGAAGTATTAAATCTATAAAGACTTTAAACGAGTACAAAAAGGTCACGTGTTTAGTCAAATTGACAGTGTCCGTATTGAAAGTGTTAACTCTTTCAGCATGGGCTCGGTCCCTGGGATCGACCTTGTAACCATTTTGTGCTTGTTATAGTTTTCATGCTATAACTTTTGAATTAGTAAGCATATGTTAATGAAATATGGCAGATTATCAGCCAGGTATGCTAAAAGGTCAATATAATAAAAATAATAAATGTATATAAATTTTATGATATTTAAACTATTTAGTTTAAACATTTATGTTTTTGTGTTATTTGTGTTCATTCTAGAATGATAGAGGCATAATTTATATTTATTTCCTAATTTTTTATGGTGGTTACGAGATCGGTCAAATCTACCAAACCCATACAGAGATTCATTACTGAAAATAACAGACAAAATATAGTTTTTCTTAAGAAATGTTTCATAACTATCTGGACATTATAAGGATTTTGCATGTGAAATTTGAACATTTTCTGACGCACAAAAGTATTTTTAATCTTAAAATGGAAATTAATTTTCATGTTAGATAGGCAACATGAAAAAAAGGCATGAGAAAGAAAAATATTGCTTAACAAACCTTAAGACTTAATAAAGGAATTTGATATTTTGTATATGAAAGCATTGTATTGTTTACTGATAATCTGCCAAATTTCATTAACAAATGCTTACTAATTTAAAAATTATAGCATGAAAACTATGACAAGCACAAAATGGTTGAGGTCAGTCCCAGGGACCAAGCCTGTACTGAAAGAGTTAATCCAATTTGACTGAACTCCATTGATAATAACCCTAGCTTTATTCTATCCAGCTTGTTTTCTGTCGAGTGAGCCAACCTATCCCTATGTCTTCAGATATATTTATAACAAGCATATTATGTGGCATCTTGTCAAATCCACATCCATTTCTTCATTTACATAAGCAGTAACCTATTGAAAGAATGTCAAAAGATTAGTAAGGCAAGATTTTCCCTTAGTGAAACCATGCTGACTATCCAACCAAATTTTAATATTTGTTAAATGACTTTGCAAAGCATCTTTCATCAGACTTTCAAAAACTTTTCCCATAAATGATGTAAGACTAATAGGTCTATAATTACTGGGACAATTTTTATCACCTCCCTTGAAAAATGGTGTAACTTTGTTTATATATATGACTTATTATTTTTAAGTATTGTTTGTATTTATATTTTTGTAAACTTTTAGTGAGACTCAAAACCTGATTTGAGGAATTTCTAATTACACTTTTATATAAATTGTAGCTATAATCCTCGGTGAATAAATTGTGTGTGAGAGTTAACTATTTAAGTTGGTCTGCTACACCAGTAATTTAGTAAATGTCTAAGTTCACTAGTCTGCATGAGTTGCCATGTTATGGTGTTATGCAGAATCACCAACAGAAAGTTACAAGTTATATACAGAACTTTAAGCACATGATATGTTATTACTCAAATTTATTTTTTGTCACTGAAAACAAAACACAAATTTAACAATTTTCACAATTAATAGTGCACAAAATAATGTTTTAGCTTTTACTTATTCTTCATCAGTATAGAAAACTGAAAAAATTATCCAAAAGATTAATGTAAAAAATAAACCACACTTTTGAATAAAATATTAATACAAAGACTAGGATAAGGAAACTAGTTTCAACACTTTCACAGAAGACTGTGTAGAACTGAAGAGTACTTATGAAAGTGTCAAAATCAGTTTTATAGTCTTTATGCTAATATTCTGTTCCAAAAGTATTATTCTTTTATATGTGAAGTTAACTAACATACAGTATGTCAGGTTAATAAATGGTATTATGTATTCTACGCTACTTTTCAAAAGATGTTGCAGCATCATATCAGTGATCAAGTACGAAGTAAAACTTGAGAAAAAAAAAACTGTTGTCTCACAGGTTAAAACATTTCAGCAAAAATTAAATGTAAGAGAACTTAAAAACTTGTTAGATTATCCTTGAGTAACTAAAATTCAAATAAATGTCACATAACTAATAGTTATGTTGATTATTTTTATTACTGATAAGGTGTGAAGTCATTTTCAGATGTACAACAACAGATTTTATTTTGTAAGTCACTAAGATAACGATTATCATGATAAATAATTTAAGGAGGAAGGAAATATTTTGGTTGCAATAATTATATTTGGGTAGTGTATAGCATGGTTCATATCTCTGTTGAAGTTTAAGTTGCACCACAGATTACATTATGTACTGTTATAAAAGGAATTCTCGTATTTTTGTCAGTAGTTTTAGATTTTATCATATTAGCTATCCTGCTCATAGTATTTTTTTGGCCAGATAATTATGTTTTCTGAGATAATGTATCATGCAACTTTATTTCCCTGAATACATTTATATGTAGGTTGCTTCATAGTTAGTTTACTCATTCCCTGCTCTAGTGTATTTCACTGTAGGTTGCTTCATAGTTAGTTTACTCATTCCCTTCTCTAGTGTATTTCACTGTAGGTTGCTTCATAGTTAGTTTACTCATTCCCTTCTCTAGTGTATTTCACTGCAGGATATTTCTCACTTGACTCGCATTCTATTTTAACTTTGCTGGATCTCCATGTTAACACTTTTAAACCATATGATAATTAACAAAAACTATGAACTACTGAAGCTCCAAATAAGCCTACCAGACTCGTTTATTCATACTTTTAATAACTAACATTTCTGCTCGTATTCAGAAAGAAAAAAAATATCTGTTTTGGATGATGTAAATATTATGTTCTACAACTATCAAATGGTCCATAACACCACAGTAATGGCTGGAGTAGAGATGGCACAGCAAATGCCTTTATGGAGGCATCTTTAAGCATGTAATTAATGTGACATTTTGTTTGTAGTTTTCCATTTTTCACACTTCAGTTGCAATACTGTACTACTTTAGCTCCTTATAACTAATAATGAGAGGTAGATAGTTACATGAGGCTCATGAAATCATGCATGCATATGAAGATTTTGTGTTTTGGAATATCTAGGTAGATCTTACTTTAGAAATTGTATTGATTAGTTGCACCATCAAGGATAGTTGATGGTCTGTCATAATATTTACTGGTCTTGGACCTGAGGAATGATGTTAATTTGTACATTAATCAAAATATTCAGATATGAATATTTAAAACCTTTATTTAAGGTACATCAATATGTTCATTTCATCAATTAGTTTATCATCAGATACTAACTAAGACTTTTTCCCTCATGAAATAACTTTTTGAATAATACCAAGAAATTAATTATATTATTCATGTATAATTATTGTGTGTGGGATGTCCACATAGGTAATTGATGATATTTAACATGAAAAAGCTCTATTGCTTGAGCATGGTCTTGTATGTGTATGCATGCATGTCTAAAAGCTTCTTTTTTTTTATAAATAGCTTCCCCATTCATACAACTGGCAGTCATTGCGTGATAAATTCAAGGATGTTGGTAAGTTTCACATTTTTTTTTTTACCAATATGTACTTTAAAGAACTGTACTAAAAGAATTTGATGATAAATGGTAAATCAGTATTGTCTTGTAGGGACTTAACTTTAAATTTTTTATACTTGTAAACATTACACTTAGATGAGAGGAGGCAAATTTTCTTTCTCAGTGCAAAATCAAGTCTTGAATGATGTTATGAATCAATGTTCCACAGAAAAAGTGACTGGTATTCTATGACAGACACCATAGTTTAGTTTTATATTTGTACACATACATGTAAGTGTACTTATATGGAAAAAGTAATTTCTAGGGGTACATATTCACATCACACCATGGTTTTCATTGTGTAATGCATAAGTATGGTTAGCCAATTGCATTTAAGTACATATTATCTTTAACACAATTTGAATGGAATTTGGTTTTAAAAATCATCATTTGAAGGAAATTTGTTTTCCTACTTCAATATTAATTGGCAAACCAACAGCATAATATAATTATTAGTGGTGTTTTTAAATTGATTTAAAAACCTTTTTTAATGTATATTTTCTATGTATCAGTTAAACCTGTTAAGTCATGTGCAAGCATAATTCTGAATTTGTCATGCAGACATACTATTTTTTCCATGGATAATATATCTGTGGCTTACTATTAAAAGTATAAAGTTTGTTTCAGTTAAACTGAATCTTGTTGTAGTATTGTAAATTGTGAATGTAAACTTTGGTGATAAGAAAAAATTGAAAAATCTATCAAGTGTAATGTTAAAATAATTCTCATTTCAATTATGGCAGATTTATTTCAAAAATAGAAGCATGTGTAATTAGCAAAAAAAGTGATTTGATAAGAGAAACATTTTAACCAGAAAACTGACCTTATAGTTATAATTTGTTTTTGTACATGAAAGAATTTCTTAAAATTTAATTTAAGAATAATATATTTTCATTAACTCACCTAAAACATTTGCAGGTGACGTGAGATATGTAGAATTCAAGAAGGGAATTGCTTATATACGTTTCAGTTCGGAACGGGATGCACAGCGTGCAGTTGGTATCCTTTTGAAAATTTATTTTCCCATTGTAATTGTTGTTTAAGTTCTGTAGGTTTTGTGTGTTTAGTATTTTAAATTTCTTATTTTGATAATGTATAGCTTAATTTTATTTTAACGATTTCTTGTCACTAATTATTATAGATGTTGACACTTTAAATTCTGCATTAATAAGTGCCATTAATTATTCAAATATGTCATGTAGTATTCTTAGATAAATTTTTGCATCTTTATATTAACATTTACATAATATTCTTTTGTTTTTTCAGTAATGAAATATTTTGAAAACTTTCAAAAGTAATCATAAAATTCTTGAACATCTCATATTATAATTATATACTTTTTACTTTTAATTTATATTTGATGTCAAAATATTGTTTTGAGGTTGTGATCAATACCTTATGTTTTTAGCTGTCTCAGTATAGCAAGCAGGATAGTGCACAACCACCTACATTTTTTCTTGCTTAGGATTTCTACAAAGTAGAAAAATATTTTGATGAAATGTATGAAAAAAATATTCTTATTAATGGAGACCTGGTAAAAATCATGCATTGTCTCATTCATTCATTCATACACAAACAAATATTTTAGGCATTCTAAATGTGTATTGCAGTATGTTTTTGTAACCACTGTTGGCCTGATTACTAACAATATTTTGACACTATTGTATGAAAATGAAATTGATTTCCAATGTAACATTACATCTATGATGTATTTAGAGGATGGTAAAATTCTCATTCAATCAACCTTAAACTTTTAATACAAGATCTAATGGATGGAGCTCGAATTCATGGGCGCTCATTGGAGGTTCAACTTTACTGAGGTAAAATACCTTTTATTGTTTGAGCTTAAAACTTTTATAAAATCATTGTCATTTAAGCAGAGTTGTGTGAAAAAAATACATATTACTTTTAAACAAGTAATTTTTCAGAATTATAATATTTTTGTTTAGTTTTACTGATGTAATCATTATTCTATCATGGTAAGTATCAAAGCTTTTTATATCCTTAATGTTTTAATTGTATTATAAAGAATTGCATAGATAGTACTGTTGAGTTCTTAGTTTTTTTTAAAGTAAAACCTTGTGATATTACAAACTTTTATTATCATTTTTTAAATTACTATTATGTATTTGTGATGTGTCAATTTTTGGTGATACATACACTGTATTATGAAAAATAGTAGGGCAGCATACCTAAAGAAGGGGTTGTTGTGTTTCACAGCCTGAACTGCTATTAATATCTGCCATAGTGTGATGAAATAAAAAATGGTGAAATAGACTGCCACTGCTCTTGAAAAGAAGTTCAGAATGTAGTGAGTTTCAGGGAATGTCTTTTTTAGTTACTTAGTTGACTTGGATTTATGATTTGTTTTTGAAGTGGCTGAAGAAAATTCTCAACTTTTATGTCAGTCTACAACTAGATATGCTGTGGTATGATATGATTCAACATTTGTATCATGCTGAAAAAATAATCCATCTTGTAAAATTTTACCATTAGAAACATTGCAACATTATTATAACAATAAAACAAGGTACTTTTGGCTCCTTTAACCATTACCAATGATTTCAATTCTAACTAATTTAATCTCTCAACACAGGCTTGGTCAAAATGACTGACCACTTTGTTCTCATTTAAAGTCATTATGGTTTTGATACTGTTAACTGTCACAAAATTGGACAGAATTTCAGTAAACATTATAAGTATGTCACATACAAAAAATCAGATTTTTTAGGGAAGTATTTTTAATAAGCACAAAAAAGATTTGTCCAAGAATTTGTCAAGTTTTTTTTTTTTTTATTATTTTTTTTTTATTTACAAGTCCGACCGAATGCATAGTGATTTTCATGTTAAAATTAAAAATACTTTTCTTCACCTCAAATTTCATTAAAGTACTGTATAAAATGTCCTAAATACATTTGAAATGTTTGTTTTCTGTAGAATTTATATTTTATCTGTTATTTTCTCTACTCTAACTAATTCGACTGACCTTGTAACCACAAAAAAAATTGAAATATATCTAAATTATTCTTTTTTTTTTCTTTATAAAATGACTTCAAATTGTAACATGAAACTACATTTGTTTATTCTAAGTAGCTTTAAACTTGTAAGCTGTACTAATTGGTATAAATTAGACAAAAAGTAGTTTAATTAAATTTTGAATGCAAGTCATTTAAAACCTTGTGACATGTAGTAAAGGACACCTGTACAGAGAGGGTTAATTAGGCACTCATTATGGCACTAATACCCTCACTTTTTCTGGTTGGATGACATAGTCATCTCAAAAGCAATTTCCAGGTTACTCAAGTAACTAGACCCATTCATGAGAATCAAACTGGTTAATAAGATTTATGTTTTACATGGTTGTTTTCCTAATATCTTTTGCCCCAATTTCAATATCCAAGGTACCATGAAAGCTAGTGTTTTGCATTCAGGGCTCTGATGAGAGACTTTTGAGTTGTAGCCAGTCTATAAAAGTCAACAGTTGGAGTTACCTGCACACTGGATATGTTGTCCTTAATTTTTATTAAAATCTTAAGTTATTAAATACCCTTTACATTTTCATTTCACAACATATTCCATATTTTGCTTAGACTAAGAAGTGATTGTAATATTGCCTAGCCAGGCTGATAATCCACATTAGCATATCCAGTGATGTTCCACCTCTTCAACCCATTTTCCAGAGTGGATTTAGATATATTAACTGAGGCAGTGAAATGTCTCATGAGTGCTGCATCCATTAACATTACTCTTTGAATGTCCTGGATTTTATTTTGTGCTAGAAACTAGCTCTTTGTCATAGATTCTTCCTTTTGTAAAACCCCTAATCACCAATGCACCATGTTTTTCATATGTAAATTCACAGGGGATATGTTCTTACCAGCTGGGGGCATTCTGTTCCATTACTTTTGTTATATGATGTGCTTTCGAAAGGAAAAATGTTTAAGTTGATCTAAAAAAGAGATACAGAAGCATTAAAAGGTAAAAAGAAATAATGGTTTTCAAGGTTGTAGTAAATTACGATATAGTATAGAGATCTTTTAAAATGTATGATATATTTAATAAATTATATTCATTGTGTTTATGGTTGAATATAATCTCAGATGATTTGATTGATCTAAAATGTTTTTAGGTTGCAGTAATTTTTTGTTGTTTTTGTTCTTTTTTTTTTCATCAGATTAACTGGTGTGTAGAAAAGTTCTTTTTATATGTTTTGTAGTAACAAAGTATGGGTAGCAGTCAGACTTTCATTCATCGTTGGCTGTCTTGGTGTTGGATCTGGGAAGTAGCTGTCACCATGAAGAGGAAATTTTTGAGTTGGCTACCTTGCAGACATTCTTAGTTCAGTTTATAAGGTCACCTTCTTGTATTATCTTCAGCTGGTAGGGTCTTGGTGACCTTCATATGTGTAGATCTAAAGAAAAAAAGTGGACTGGATGCAGTTTTATGGCTCATATTTTCTTCCTGTCTTTTTGCATGCATATTGATGTGTTTTATCTTACAAAAATAGCACGATTTACAAATATTTTATGGAGGATAAAGGGTGTTTTCTGTAGCTTTCATATGTTATTTTAGTTTACCTGTTCATATGGTAGATTTATTGTCAGGATTAATAAACTTGTGTGTGAAGCGGTGTTGTTTCAGACATTCATGAAGTCTGCTTTTAATGGAAGAAAAAATCATAAACGTTTTTTCAAAATGTGAACAGAAAATCTCACATTTAGTTTTTGGTCAGTCAAATATGTAGTTTTCCTTTGTCTTAGACAAATGCTGTTCAGGAAACTGAAGAGAAATAAAAGACTTGTGCACATCTGAGAATTTGAAGGTTGTTTTCCCAATATGTACTGAAAAAACAAGTACAAGGAAATAAAGTTATGTCAAATTTCTGTCCGCTTTTCCCTGGTTTGTGTTTTTATGCTCTCATATTTTCCTTAAAATTGTTTTTAGCTGCTATGAAAATGGGATTCAATATATTGATGTTTACCAACAAGTGTGTTTTGAAAATTAAATGCCTCTATTCTTTGAGTATAAGAACTGCCATAATCTTAACAATATTCAAATGAAGAATTAAAACAAACTTACCATTACCTGTGTTAGAGGAGAAACACTATCTGTAATGTATTGATCACGAAATATGTTGTATTCCAATGCATAGTTGTTGTTTGATGTTCAAGATTCCTTAATTGGTTAATTGTATGGCATGATATAAATGCAATCTCTTGTTTAGAAGTCTTCTTCTTAAAATTTTCTGCATTATTATTATGAACATGTTAATTGAATTATCTTTGTCTGGTTTTGATAGCATATGTGATAATTCATGATTTTTAAAATAAAACTGTAAAAAAATTGACAAATGAGTGATAACTGATAATTGTATTGTTTTTAGTTAAACCGTATTTGATGAAACATTATGCAGTTGATACTTTAATATACATTTCTTTGTTTGAATTACATTCCTAAAAATCATTGGTCTCAAGAAGTAATATTTACGATTCTGTTTATCCTGATTTATGTGTCATTTGTGGATGAGAAATCCTGATGTAATAAAAAGTTTTTGTCAACATACCAATCTGATCTTAATGTTCACACTTAACGTGAGCATCAAACTAATGGAAAAAACTCATTGGATTAAAGTTCCAGTTGGTACTTGGGCTATTTCTGTTCCATTTTATTTGTATGAATACTAAGAAACATCAGATTTTGTTTTTTCTTATCAAATCAGGCAAGTGAGAAAATGTACGTTTTTAGATAAGGCATAAAATAAGATGCTTTTGGTGAGGGGAAATCCTGTAATCTGTGTCCAGTGATTTGTATGTTTAAAATTCAAGCTGTATGCTTGTGTTTTTAGTTGGAGTTGGGAAATCCTGAGTTTATTCATACTCTTGAAGTTTTGGAACATGAGTTTGTTTGTTCATATATTCAGTGATATTTAAAATAACATAATGATTTATTTTTGTATGACAACTATTCTTTCAAAGTGTTAGTGTTCCTCCTCTCCATTTTTTAAGCTGGCATTTTTGAAGTAATATTTTTAATGAGGTTTCAGCTGTGTACGAAGTATTTTTCTATTATCTCTTCTAAACTAAGATCTGGTAGGATTAGTAGTTATATACATATTTAATAGTAACGTACCTGACATTACCTCAAGAAGAAAAAAAAAGTGGTATTATGTTGAGCTTAAAATCATTGCTTTGCTGGTTTAAAGAAGAATATGAGTAAACAATCTGACACATAAAAGAAGTCTTTCAGCAATTTAACTAAAGTTTTAGTGGGGATTTAGAAAATAATTTGACATTGCTTCAGTGTGTTTAGTTACTTCCTCACATGTTAACGATCCAGTCTTTAATTATTATTTATCTTTTGAGCTTTTTTTTATCTTGGCTATAGTAAATACTATTTACTAGCCATAAAAATCCAATTCCATATCTTAAATTCATAAAACACTGAAATAACATTTTTAAACAATATTCAGCTCAATTGTTAGTGAGAGGGATGAACTTGTCATTTTTTTTTTTTAATCAGCATACAAGTCTGGAATATTCATCATTCACGTTTGTCTGTTATTCCACTTTATATATATATATATATCTTTATTGATTGATTTCTCACCCATAATTTACTTTCAAGATTATGAAAAAATTATGAAGGGAGGTAGTATTTGAACCTTTGTGATGTATTAGTAATGTGGTTTTTAGGTCAGCTAATTTCACTCCGTTGTGTTCCTTTATGTCATGCAAGAGCTCTGATAACATATAGTACCTAAGGTCAGCATTTCTTAACCTTTTTGATACCAGGAATGGCTTGCTTCCTCCTTAACTGTCAT